CACACACACACACACACACACACACACACACACACACACACACACACACACACACACACAAATATGATATAAATAACTGAGACTGTTTTGAGTCATTTGTAAATGATTTGAACTGTACATGTGTCTCAAATTTGTTGCTTCATTGTGTTTAGATTTGTCTGTCCTTGACTGCCTGGTCTCACATGYAGTTTAACTTGAATTTATTTAACACATATTTGATCAGGATTAATAAGAACCACTTACCCCTTACCAAATCCAACAAAGTAAAAAAAGAAAAGTATTTTTAAAAATTATTTAATGTCCTGGATCAATCAACACCAGCATAGTTCCAAGTTGTTTAAATAGGCTTTTTGAAATATTCTTTTAGTTCATCTTCATAATAAGATGATACTGGAAATCCCTTCTTCGCTAATACAAAACTTTATATAACAATATAAGAACAAGCATAAAGAACAACTAGGGATTTCCGGTTGCTTGGATTTCAAATACAATGGACAAAGAGAGTCAAAGTTGCAAAAACAGTAAAATGAACAATGTTAGTTACCATTTTACTCCATGCAACTATTCAGGAGATAGTACTTTTGAAAGTTAGTAGTTTTAGCTTTTTGGTGGTGTTTTATTAACATTCATTATTGTACAACATGTTTATTATTGTGTCTTCTCTTTATGTTTTTGTCAGTCCTCTCACAATCAGTCTGCGCTATCGTTTATTAACTCTTTGGACTTTAAAATAAACTRCAAGAGGTCCTTGTTTGTAAATATCACATAAAGCTTAGTATATTTAAGGTAAAATTAGAGCATTTTTAAACAAAACCAGCTGTGTTGTCATTATGACCACCACTTCCTTTATTTATTTTTACTCCTATGAAGTTCCCACATTGAAGTTTATTCAGTTTTGTGTGGTATCTGGCTTTGATAAGTATCATATTTGTATTTTAAACTCTTGTGAATGTTTTAGGATTCTGAACCATTGGAGAACAGTTTGAGCACATTAACTTAGACTATCTGTGCTGTACAGTGTTGGTTAATCCTCAGTTCTTATAAACACGTCTGTGAAGACAAAACAGTAGTTGGGAAGATGTAGTCATAACAAGAGATCAGCTGTCATTTAGAAAAATTTTTCTCTAGTTAAAGCAGTTATGTTATGGAGCACAAATCAAAATGTTCACAGCTTAGTAGTCATGTATGATTGTGACACTTTGCTGATTTGTGTTTTTTTGAAAAGAGACTCATTTCCTTCTTTAAACTGTTGCTTCCACCTGCTTCTTTAGCACATTCGGTAATAAATGAGACTATGAGTCCTTTCTTTTTCCAAAAACAAACWAAAAGGTTAGGTTACCTGTTGTTTTTGGTGCTGCCTAAAACTTTATCGAGTTTTTGTTTTTCACTGTTGAAAAACATTAGCGTTATTATTACATCAAATGATGATTTTTGACACATTCAAACTACAGACAGGAGTCGTGTTTATGATCGGTTTATTGAAGTTATGCTGCAGAATTTTAAAGCACATCGTGTTTCAGGTAAAAACAACAACAACAACAAAACAATCTTAAATGAGTAATTATAAATGTAAGTTTCAAGTCTGGGCCACCAAGATATCTATCCATGTGTATGATATGTTTGACTTTTCAGATTAACTCTGATGGGCAGCTACAAAATTCATAACATTTTTATTATAAAACTGACTTTTGTTTATCTTYACGTATTATTAAGATTTATAAAAGGTTGTGTTGAGGGAAACAAAACATTGTTTTTGTGAATTTGGTTTGTACATAAAGTTAACTTTCTCCAAAAACATGACATTAATGATCCATTCTTTAAAGTAATTGGATCAAAACAACCCTCTATAATGTGGAGAAAATGCTCTCTATCATGACTTTCTGACTTCTTGGTACATAAGTTACATTTATTARTAAAATGTGTTACCATTTGTTGTTAATGGGGTTAATTTTAGGTATAATCTCACCGYTCATGGAACTTTTTAACAGTTATTTTCTTCCTGACTCTGTCCCAGAGCTGTACTACGACAGAGGAAACCACCATGAGTTTGTTTCTCTGGTGAAGGATCTTGCGAGACCCGGTGAAATAACCCAATCCCAGACCTACGACTTTGAGTTCACCCAYGTTGAGAAACCCTACGAGTCCTACACGGGCCAGAACGTCAAGCTAAGGCAAGTTTGACCATTCACCTCACTTTATAGCCACCGTGTGTGTTTGTGTGTCTGCTTGTCGTGTGGTAACCTTTGACCCCAGGTGTGGTCTTTTCCTCTCACACACTGTACATAAATGAATTAGGTTCACGTGTTCGTTGGGTTTTCAGATATTTCCTTCGTGCCACGGTGATCAGAAGACTAAATGACATCACTAAAGAGATGGACATCGTGGTCCACACGCTCAGCACCTACCCTGAACTCAACTCCTCCATCAAGATGGAAGTTGGGATTGAAGACTGCCTCCACATTGAGTTTGAGTATAACAAATCCAAGTAAGAACATTCTGGACGATGTTGGAAAACATTCAGTTTTTAAATGCTTGATAGTAGGAGGTGTTAAAACACAAGATACGAAGGAGTCTAGGCTGAGTGGAAATGTTTTGAAGTGCTTTTTAATGCTGAAAATAAAGAAAAATGTGCTCACTAATCAACAWCTATATTCTCTTTTTTATTACGTTGTCATTGCGTGTTTTCTGACAGATATCATTTGAAGGACGTAATCGTGGGGAAGATCTATTTCCTGCTGGTGAGGATTAAAATAAAACACATGGAAATTGACATCATCAAGCGCGAGACGACGGGCACCGGTCCGAGCGTCTACCACGAAAACGACACCATCGCAAAGTACGAGATCATGGACGGAGCGCCGGTCAGAGGTAAACACCGCTTGTTTGTCACATATTTTTTAAAAAAAGAATACAACTGAGAGGCTGTACTGCTCGCTCCACGCGTTTCAGGGGAGTCCATTCCCATCCGGTTGTTTCTGGCCGGTTATGATCTGACTCCCACCATGAGAGACATCAACAAGAAGTTCTCTGTGCGCTACTACCTGAACCTGGTGTTGATCGAYGAGGAGGAGAGACGCTACTTCAAACAGCAGGTATGAAACGGTTTCTTTACAAGCGTCGTCATCTCCACAGGTGAGGTTTAATTGCACATGTAAAATTCTCAAAGCACAAGACGAGACAGGAAGTTATAAAACGTAGCTGTCCTATTTAAATGTCTTAAAGTCAGCAGTTTGTCTTTGCAGTGTTTAACGTTTAGAGGAGCAAACACTGCCTTTATTTCCTGCTGACATAAAATGATGAAATATTGACCTCCAAAACACGTTTGTTCCACCACATGGGCAYGGATTGATTTCTAAGATTGACTCACCACACTCCATTAACTTCTGAACTTATGTCAACTAAAATGTTCTGTGTTCGGATCAATATGAACTGTTGGTGTGTTGGAGCCACAGATTAAGAGCCACATTCAGCAGGTACTGCTAAAGAAAGAGATGATCTAACACTTTTAAGTGCTGCATTTAGTCCTCATTATTTATTTCTAAAGGCTGGTTTGCGACRGCGTCCAGCAGCTGTGGCTCGGTTAGTTTTTGTCCTTCAGTTCGTGCTGCAGCGAATCCAAACTCCAGACATTGGGGAAGTCAGCAGCTCGGCTTCAACACTGCTGCTGCATGTTGTCAGTGTCAGAACAGCCTCAGTTGCAGTGACACGTGTGTCATCACAGCTCCGCTCCCTCAGCAGCGTTCAGCAGCAGAGCTGCCTTCAGTCGCCGCTCCAAATGTTTTGTGCACACTTGTGTCCGTGCAGCCTCAGCTGAGGACACTCACTGTAGTCACAGCCAGCAGCAGGCGCATGCATAAAACATGACACTGCATCATGATAAAGGTTAACCCTGTTTTTATTTATTTGTTTCCCCAATTGAGTCAGTGGGAACTGACAGAAAAATAGTCCTGTCTCAATATTAAATTATTTTAATAATTCTTTGTGTGTTTACAATCTGATTTTTTTTTTTTAACCAGATGTCAAGTGTGTCTAACTTTTTTTCTTAGGTGCACCCAACTGTTCAAATGTATCACATTTAACATCACAGTTTTACAGGTTCACTTTTTTAATCACTTCCAATAAAGCAATATTAACTCACAATTAGTTAACAATCTAGTAAAACTAAAGTTCTTTATTAGAACCAGAACTGTACAAGATGTATAACTTAAATTCAGCTGACTAAATTGAKTCTATGACCTGAAATTTTAACTTACTATATTAATTTGTGTATAATACRAGAAATTTAACCTCAAGAATCACTCAAAGTGAGGGGTAGTAGTATACATTGGAGTAAATTTTAACTGACCTTTTTAATGTACTGCCACAATAAGTTTTAATATTTCTTTGTATAACTGAAATATCCTCCCTTTGCATTGCATTGCGAGGCATTTAAACCGTAGCTGTCAGAGGAGAAAAAAACTTTTTTCTTGTTAACTGTGGCAGTGTGAAAAAGACTTAGACTTTAGTTGCATGTTCTGATAAATCCATGTTAATAATTTACCAACCGGATTCTGCTCTGGTCTGGGAGCAGATTGTTTTGTTTTTTTCAGTGACGCACGGAACCGGAACCACGCAAACACAAGTGTGTCTCCCCAAATAATGTTTCACCACCAGAGGGCGCACCGCCATGTTTGAAAAACCCTGAAGTCTGTCAGAAATTAGTGGTGGCTCATTAACATGATGATTAGATTTTTTAAAAGATTTTTAAGCTTAAAATATGATGATCGTATTATACATGAATAATTATGGTTTAAAAAAATGTCTGACTCTGGTTTAAAAAACAAAACAAAAAAATGGTTGTTTCGCTACACGTTTGTGTGCATGTGCATGTTTTGCTACATGATGGACACCATTTTTGACATTTTCCCAGTGCACACACAGGTCAGGTTAGGCTATAGAAATGACCAGTAATTGAATGGAGRTCACTGCAAAGTCCCCATAAGTATAGAAGGACAAAAGCGTGTGTGCGCACGCAGGGTGTAGAGTGGAGCTCTGTGTTGATACTTCTGGGCTGATTCATTACAGGATATAGAGACTTTTAGTTTCGTCTGACAACCCCTCCCCCTCCTCCTCAAACGACGGGTCACAACACTGCGACCAGAAATATTTTTTTTAGTCGCACGATTAAAAAAATCAGGTCACATTTTGCCCTGTGGCCATCTTGAGTCAAGTTGACTCCAAAAGTTATTCCATCGTAGATCTGCATCCCCTCTAGACTGATCTAAATAAAAATAAGTGTAAAACTTTTGTTCAAATTCTCTTTGCTCTTGCAGGAAATCACCCTGTGGAGGAAAGGAGACGTGGTGAGGAAGAGCATGTCCCACCAGGCCGCCATCGCCTCCCAGAGGTTCGAGGGTTCGGCTGCTTCAGAGAGCGCGCTGGAACAGGCTGCCAAGGAGGAGAGCGGATAGACCCCCCCCCCACCCCCAACGCTCGCCACCGTCTGCTCGACACGCGGGCTCACCTGTCTACTGTGCAAACATCTGGCGAGGCAGCTGTTTTCTGTTCGTGGCCGCTGCTGGTGAAGAAGGGAAAGCGACTAAAACCCGAGCGTGAACTCTGAAACAGTTTGCATGAGGCGTTCAGAGCAGCTTCAGGCTCCTGTCCCTCCTCATCGTCCATTTTTTTTTTTTTTTGTTTTCTGTACAGGAACTAATCCGATCACCTGTCACCGTGTCTGCTGATTGAGCTCACATGAAATTCTTTTTTTTTTCATCTTGTTTCTTGCATTCTAATTCTTCAGGCATACATTTGTTTTCCAGTCTCTTTAAACATCAGCGACTTTTCTAACATTCCACATTTATTAAACACATTCCTATTATCGGCWACACCGCTGCACTGCTTACACGTTTTAGTTTCTTCTTTGTGTCGTTGCACAAAAAAAAAAGAAGATGAAAGTAAAAACTGGAATCTCGTTTCTGTGAGCGAGCTGAAGTATTATCCGACACGTTTTTAGAACTAAACCCTGTAAATAAGACCAGTTAAACTCGCTCTCCTGTTCCAGCTTGTCTAGGTTGATGATCCGGTCCACAGTGCTTCGAAACGATCCTTCATGTCCTCGTGCTTTACCTCAGCATTCCAGTGGTGTTCAGAGAGGATGTCAGTGTTTGTGTTCAGATCTAACCTTATGGATGGAGTCGTCTTTATCCTCTTTATTAGAGACTYGACAGTTGTGCCTATGTGTATTAATCTAATGAGAATCTTCCTGCCTCTAACATGATTTTAGTCTTTTAACCAGAGAAAAATGACCGTAGAATTATCTATCTTTTGCAAAATGCTTATTGATTTATTCCTTGTTCCAGAAGTTAAAATAAACTGATGCCAAATGAAAAAAAAGAAAAGAAAAGTCAGTGTTTGTCTCATTATGCATCTAAACTGTTTTTATCCTGATCAGATGCCTGAACCTCATCAGCTGACCCGTTAGCTGCTTCAGTTTGTGGTTCGAAGACAAGAAAAGTCAGCATTTGAGAGGAGAGGCGCAGATGGAATAATAAGTTCTTTGACCTGCGTGCTGACATTAAGTCACAGTAAAACACAGGAGACGTTTTTTTTATTTATTTATTTTTTTGGCAAAGACGAGGAGCAACATTCCGACTCAGCATCGCTCKGACCAGGAGGGAATTTCTTGTCAGGAAACGGCGTGCGTCTTGTTTGACAGCGACCAAAGCATTGGGAAAAAAAAGTGCAAACTCAGCTTGGATTCAAGTTGGAACTACTCTCTCTCCTCTAACCGGATTAAAATCGGTTTATGGATCTGCAATTAGCTAAATAATGATTAAATTAAATTGGATACTTAGYGTGACTCATAAGGTAATAAATCTTACATTTATCAAATTAAAACTAAACGTCTAGTTGCTGCATAGACTTGAATATAGATCACTAGATTGAGCCCCGCCCATACTGGCCACTGGTATAGTCTGTGACAGCATGGAGGAGCAGAAATGGTGTCCAAAAAGGGCAACAGCTCACAGCCTCCATAGAAACTAATAAACAGCAGCTGAACCGGATCTGTTTCACAGATTGTCATGTTTTTACAATAAATTAATACTTATGTTAATTTCATTCAACAATCATGTAAAAC